GGGCATGGAAGTTGGCAGCTTCCCCCTGACAGCAAAGCTCCAGGATGCAGGGACTGGGGGTTTCAAAAGCCTCCTGTTTCCCAAGGTCACCCCGCCTGTTGAGGGGGAGGATGGGCCCAAAGGGCCCGAAGGCTCCGCTGGGTACAGGCATGAGACACAAAGCACCTTCGAGAGCAGCTTCTGCACTGAACCTGAAATTGCAGACTCCTGGGGAAATCCCAGCCTGATTCTGTCCTTCCTGTTGAATCACAACTGGGCAGCGAGTGTAAAACCTCTAGGAAACCGGCTCATCGCTGACACGCGGGTCAGGGGGAAAAAGCTGTTCACCGAAGTCACAGCTGGGGAGGTTTCACATCACACTTCTGCATTTCTCTGTCAGAGAGGGCAACAGCCCCAACAGCAAAGCAGCCAGACCCTGGAGTGATTGATGGTGCAAAGGGAAGGGGCAGCAGGTTGATCCCACTGTATGGGGCTGGCACAGACTTGCTCCCAACAGCCGGATGCAGCATCTCGGGGTGCCCAGGCTGCACCCCTTCTTCCCAGGCTGGAGCTCAGCGCAGACAGGAGGGGCACAGACTGGGATCCAGATGTCCCAGGTCCTGTCCCTCCTGCCAACACACCTCTGGATGATACCAGCGCAAGCTGTAAAACCCGGGGAGCAGAGAGCTTGAGGAGACGTTGGCAAAGAGCTGGAGCTGAACTCAAGCCAGGCAGTTGCTTGGCTGTCAGTAGGTCTGACTGGCGGGTCACAGGCAGGGGAGCGACTGCCAAACCTGGGGTTAGGTGGAATTTTGCTCCCCGGGGTGCGTTGGCAGCAGCTGCAGGGTTGTGAGCAGGAGCAGGCAGACTGCCACCACCTCCTGTCAACGCCGAGCGCCGTCGGGACGAGACCATAAAGGTGCAGTCTCTAGGAGGCTGCAGCTGTTTTGCTCTGGGGCAAAAGCAGGTGAAGAGGGAGAAAGAACAAAAATCTGCAATTTTTACTGTTAATAAACTGGATTCCAGACGCTTCCCAGCACCTGGCAGCACACACAGCTCTCAGGTGGGATGTGCAGGGAGGCAGGGGCTGCTTGAGGGGAGGAAAGAGGAAAGAGGAGGTCCCTTGGGCTAAGGGACCCCAGGACTGCACCCCAGACACTGGTCCTGCCAGGCAAGAAGCCTCCCACAGCCGCTGTGTGCCTGGAACCCCAGTTGTGCTGTTTGATGTGACACAGCTCAGGTACTGCAGCCCGGGAAAAGAGAAACTAGAAAACACAGAGGGAAAGGCGGCCTCTCCCGGTTCCCTGTCTGATGAAGGAAGCTTTGTGGGAGCTCTGTGACCTGCAATGATGAGGAGCACACAGCCCAGGAGAACCCACGCATGCAAGGCTGAGAGAGGAAGCAGGAAAGTGAATCCACCCTGCAGCATGTCACCCATCTGTGACACCTCTCTGTGCAGGACCAGTGGCGCGAGGGACACGCAGACAGGCAAGTCTGGGGAGAAAAGTGACCTGTAAGATCACCCAGTTGAATCCCAGCAGAGCTGTGGGCTGGGGAGGGCGCAGACCCTGGACCTCTCTGACCGTGACACTCAAAGACAAGAGTTTCATTGCAACAGGCTGATATTTCAGGGCTGGCCTGGTGCTGTTTTGGGGACAGCACCTGACAGTGCTCACTTTTAGAAAAGCCACTTTCCCTGGCAGGTTACAGGCACCACGTTCACACTGAGCCAAATCCACTGACAAGCCAAAGTAATTTTCCCTGCACTCCACAACTGCTCCCTATGAACCCAGAGAGCAGAGATGTCACCGAGGCCGCCCCGAGCTGGCACACAAAGCACCCTGTGCCATCGAGGCTGCTCCTGGGCACAGCACTACCAGCCCCTGACGTTGCCAACTAACATCTTCAAACCCTGGCACTGGCACAGGGGGTTTATGCTCCAGGACCTTCATCCAAGCCCTGCCCAGGAAGTTACCTGGTTTTGCTGTCAAGAAAACAGTGTTCAAAGCACCTAAACACAGATGAAAAGCTCCATCTCTGTTGTAGTGCCTGGTGGTTTGGGGATGATGGCAAAGGCCGTCTCATCAGGCGTCCCCACTGGCCTGCAGAGTGTCAGCCAGGACTGGGAGGGGATGGAGGAGTTCAGCAAAATTTTGAACAAATCATAAATCTTGTCAAATTTCCGATTCTGTTGAGTTTCTGGATTTTTCTAGACTACAATCTCTTTTCTTTAAATCCACTTGTACGTGACTGTCACCTCAAATTCTTGGTGCAAAACCAGAGTGTTGGGGAAGCACTTTTTAAATTTTTTTGTACAGTTTCAAGCTTGCCTGGGCTGGGCCATTGCTCCATCCCTCCCCAGTCCTGGGGGAGTGGCACTGAGCCAGCAGAACACCCCGAGCTGTGAGCACTCTGCCAGCCCCAGCACCATCCCCCTGCTGGGGCAGAAACACTCGAGGGACAAAGCAGCCCCTCACAGGCTGTAGAAAGCACATGATGAATCCCAAATTCCTACCCCAGAGCATGAACTGGGGTTGTCTGAGACTCCTGACCCAGCTGGTGGGCTACGGAGGGGCACTGCCCCCTCCCCACATGTTTTACCAGCCCCAAACTGAACTGGTTCCAGCATCTGAAGCAGAACTCAACCCAGCAGGATTGAGCTTCAGGAAGACACTGCAAGGGAGCTGCTCCACGGGGGCAAGGCTGTCACACACAGAGGAAAACCTCATCCATCTCACGCTGCCCAGTGCTCAAGCTTGCAGAAGAACCCAAGGGAGGTAAGAGTGTCATAACCTGACAAGCTAATTAGGCTGAAACATGTCTGTTGACACAGGCGAGAAGGACGCGTGTTCCTGGGCTGCAGGGACCGCAGCCACTGGCCCTTCCCAGCCTTTCTGGGGACAGAGCTGGAAGCTGCTGTGGTCTGGGGTCTCACCAGACAGAAGCGCTGGTGGGAGCAGCAGGCTGTGGGCAGGGAAAGCCAGGAGCACCCCAAAGCCTCAGAGCTACAGTTGGATCTTACGGAGTCCTGGGGCAGCAGGGAGAGATGGTCCCATACGGCTCCGGCTCTGGGAAGTGGCTCCTCTCTGAGATGCTACAGGGGCTGAGCCCACAGGTATAGGAGGGAGATGAGCAATGTCCTGGCATTTCCAGCAGACTTTGCTGGAGCACAAAGCACAGCTACGAGCAGAGAGGAGCACCAGGAGGTTATGCCAAAGCCTGGGGTTGTTAGGAAGTGCCACAGGACCTAATCCTGCTCACCAGTCCTTCCCTTTCCCTGTGCCAAAGCAATTGCAGCTTCCCCAAGAGCAGAGGCCAGAGGAGCAGAGGGGAGAGATGGACCCTGCTGCTGGGGGTCCTACTGTGCTCGCTGTCCCCACGGCCCCTCCAGCCCCCGTGCCCTGTGAACTATCCTGCCTGACTGGGCTCTGCCAGGCAGATCTGGGCAGCAGCTGTCCCCAGCCCGAGAGCGTGACAGACACGGCTGAGATGGGATCTAACATCCCCCTGGGGAGCTGACCCCGTCTGCCTGCAGAGCTGGGAAGAACTGGGCACAAAATGTTTCAGAAGGGGAAGGAGAGGGAAGAAACAAAGAATAAATTCCCGTTGGATGCTTTTCCATTGCCAACTCTAGAACAGCTGCCGCAGCTCAACACCGCTGAGCACCTCTTCGTTTGCTCCCGCACCTCCGGGACACCCTGCCATGTGGTGGGGCTGGCGGGGTTCTTCCTCCCGCTGAGCACACCAGAATGGTCTGCAGTGATGCTGGGAAGCCCTTGGAGCGAAGGGATGGTTGGCCCAGCTTGGCTGCTGGAGCATCTCGTGCAGGACGGGTGCTTGCTGCTCCCCTCATGCAGGTGACAGTGGCCACTCTGCATCCCCACGGCAAGCTGGGCAGCACGCTGAGCTGGGTTTGCCTCCAAGGATGCTCTGGAGATACAACAGTGGGTGAAGGTGGGATGTGAAACCACTCCGCTCCCCAAGCCTGCAGCGTTTTGCACTTCTGATGGTGGCAGCTCCAGTGTGGGAAGAAGCTGTGTTGGAGACGAGGATCCTGCTGCCGGTCACAGCTTGCTGAGGGCTGGAGCCAGCGCACGTGCTGGGGAGCTGCTCCCCTTCCTGCCTCTTGGCTGTCACCAGCATCTGTGGGTTCGTCTGCTGCAAGGTCTCTGAGCACGGTGTCCTGCTGCTCCGTCTGCCTCTGCCTCTCCCCAGTCCTCCAGCTTTGTTCAGTCGGTCTTTGTTCAGCTCTGCCCCTGCAAGCACCTCCGAGAGCGGGCGTTTGCTCAGACACGGGGGTAAGAAGCACTTTCCTCCGCCCTGGGCTTTCCTCTTCCATCTGTGTTGTTTCCTTGCTTACCTTGAAAGCACCCCAGTCCCTTGGTTCTCTTCCACCCCCCAAGGCCTGCTTTGTCCCAGCAGCTCATCCTCCCCATGGCGACGCTCCGGGACAGCCGTGGGGCACGTCCTCTCCCAGGTGGAACCGCAGCCTCTGGGATCCTCCAGGAGTGAAGCAAATGGTGCAGAGAAACCTTGCTGGACCTTGGTCAGCTCCCGGGAGGAGCGGGAGCAGCGCTGGAGGATACTGCTGCAACTTGCTTTGCTGTTTAACTTCCTTTTCCCAAATCAGAAGTGGCCAAAGCAAAGAGATGGTGAATTCAGCACATGAGTTTGTTTGTTTTGTTTTATCATGGAAGGTACAAGCCAGGCAAGGAAGAACATCCCCTCGCTGTGGCTACATTCGCTTTTAGTGGCTTTCAGAGCCGAATCTGAGAATTCCTCTCTTTATATCCAGTCTCTCTTAATACAATTTTAATATTCTGGTTGATCCTAAAGATGCAACGTTAACTATAGAAACAGCAGCAGAAAAGCGTGGGGTACAAGACATTTTTTTTATACAAAAAAAAATTCTTTTCGTTGCTTACAAAACATATGCAAAAGAAGCTAAAAAAAAAACAAAACCAAAAGGCATTGCTATTTGTTCTACATAAAAAATCTCATAACTAATGTTCTTTTTTTTTAAAAAAAGAAATATCAAGCTTAGGCACAATTTTGCTGCTGGCTGCTTGTGAACAAGCCAAGAGAACACGCCACCCCCTCCTAACTGAGTGATATGTATTGACTGTTCCGCACTTTATACTTAAGGCAATTTTTTTTGTTTTCATTTTGTTTTTGACAAAGTGGTTTCTTTTTTTCCACCCCTTACGTCATGCCAGGATCTGTCCACGTGTGTCAGTATTAGCAGTACTAAAGTTTATGGTTCAAGAAGGTTGCAGGTCACACCGAGGGTTTTCTTCCTACAGATCTCTCTATCCAGAGGAACAAAAAGATCTACAAATTAAAACAAAACAAAACACAACAACACAAAAGCCTGAAGTGAGAGAAGCCCAAATGAGAATAAAACTCTGCTCCTTGCATGGTGGGGGCATAAACCTCTCCTGTCTCCAGAAGTCAGCCCCGAGGGCTCGACGTGGCTGCAGCAGAGCTGAGACACAAGCTCATTATTCTGCCGAGACACCGCCTTTGCCTTTTGGGTTTTTTAGGGCAGCCCCAGGCACCCACCGGTGCAAGGGACGTCAGGGGACCACAACCCCTCTGTGTGATCCAGGGCGTGTGGGTGCTACGGGCTGAGGCACAGGGGAGCCTCTCGCGCATGGCTCCTGGATCTGCTCAGTCCCCCACCGACACCCCTGCCCTGCTCAGGCCACACAGGTCCAGCTGCTCCTGGCTCAGCGTGGGCTGCCCTTAAAAATCCCAGAATCCCAGACCAGTTTGGGTTGGAAGGGACCTGAAAGCTCATCCAGTTCCAATCCCCCTGCCATCAGCAGGGACACCTTCCACTAGACCAGGTTGCTCAAAGCCTCATCCAACCTGGCCTTCAACACTTCCAGGGAGGAGGTGTTGGGGACAGCCCAGAGGAGCCTGTGACTGCCATGGTCTCACTGGGGGAATTTCACCTTTTGTGTCATTCTTGGCATTTCTAGGACCTGCCCATTCCCTCCCATAGGGCCACCAGGCAAAGGAGTTGCTGGTTTCCAGTAGCCAACTGGGGCAGGGCTGGGAGGCGCAGAGCAGAGCTGAGTTCACTCAGGGTGGTGAAAGCACCAAAACCCTCTGTCCCGGCTACGGGGCTGCACCTCTCCTGCAGGACAGAGGCTTTGGGTGTCCATGGATGAGCAATGGACATGCACGTGCAAGTCAGTTACTTAAGGGAAATTAAGAACCATGTTGGCTGGTGCTGAACGACTGGGGCTGATGCCGAAGCAGAGCAGTGCATGTCAGCAGCGGGCTGGACCTGCAGCGGGGTGCTGGGATCACGGCGGGGGGGATGATACCTTTACATGTGTCCAACAGGATTGTGACCATCTCCTAGACCAGGATGTGAAGCTGAAAGTGTCATCTGGGGATCTCCTACTACTCCGGACACTTTCTCCTCTTCCCGACGCTTCAAGCAGGCTGCTTTAGGGTTCAGATTGCGCTCTAGGCCAAAAACAGCAAGAGAAGGAGGGAAGCAACCTCAGTATGGGCAACAGCATCGCACACGGCCGCAGCATTCGAAAGAGAGAGCGAGGACAGAGTCCCAGGACAGACAGACAGGACCATGCGAGGAAGCAACCTCAGTGCAAGCTGCTCTTTGCCTGCTGCTCCTTGCAGCGGCTGCAGTAACTCAGCCAGACCCCTGCCAGAGCAGAACCCCGTGCTTGGCTGAAGCACCGTGCCAATTTAAACCTGTGCTCGCTCACAGAAAACCCCAAGTGCCTCAGCCAGCTCTCGGAGTTGAGGATTAAGTTTTCCAAAGCTGCTTAAATGGGATCCAGGTGCCACATTCCCATTAAGCATGAGGGGAGACAGAGAAAGCAGCTTTGAATCCACACCCCAGGCCAGGGCTTTTGGAAAGCTCAGCCTGCCGCGTGGTGCAGCCGCGGGTGCCGCTGGTGATGCCAAAGCACAACCTTGCGCCGAAAGCAGGAGACACAACAGAGACACACGCGCACGCAGAGATGTGGGGGGAGAGAAAGGCCCCGAAATGCCCCTGCCAGCCGTTACCATACCTCGTACTTGCTGCTCCAGGCCCAGAATGACCTGCACCGCTTGCTGTAGGATGATCAGTTTGGTCTGTGCTTTGTCCGTTTTTAAGTGCATCTGACACATGCGTCCCAGTTCTTTAAAGGCCTCGTTAATGTCCCGCACACGCACCCTTTCCCTGGCGTTATTGGCCATTCTCCTCTCCCGGTCCCTCAGATCTTTGTCCTCCAGTGACAAGGCCTCGTCTGTACTGCTGGGTTCATAGCACCACAGGGATTAGTCAGGGGGGTGGTACCGAGAGGGGGGCTATACGTTGCCGTGCTGGTAGTGCTTCTGGTGTCCACTGGAAACGGCTCAAACAGCCTCACTTTGCAAAGCCAATTCATCTCAGGTGCTTCCCGGAGCAGCCCGGGTTATTTGGGCTGTGTCTCGTCTCTGTGAGCCAGGTGAAGGTGCTGCCAGCAGAGGGCCAGGGTCCCATGGGTGCTGCCAGGGGCGAGGGCGGGCTGTGGATCGACACCAACACTTTCTCCCCTCTGCAACATTTTGCCTTCCTGTTCATTTTCAGCTGAAAACTAAAAGTTCAGGGGGGAGTCTCAGCCAAAAACATCGGGCTCATCACCCAAGGAAAGACCTTTTGGCAGAAAGCAAATCCCTCTTGGTAAAGTTTCCTTCAAAATTCCCATCTGCAGCAAAATCCTCCCAGTGAGGGCATTTTGGGCAGTGTGAGGCAGCCTGGCCCAGCACCCTCTTATGGGTGGGGGGCATCACTGGGGGCAGGAGCCAACTGCCCCGGCTGCTGCTGAGGGTCAGTCTTGGATGCAGACGCTCAATCCAGGTCCTTCAACATAGCCAAAATCACTCCAAAGGTGGTGATTTTTTTTTTCCAGGCATGGTCAGGAGCTTTGGGAGAACCTTCACCGCTGGCAGCACCCCAGGGGTGCCCGAAACAGGCAGGGACAGCAGGGAAGGCAGTCGTGCTGGCAGCATCTTAAACCATGGCCTTGCCACAGCCCATCCTCTCCAAACACCCAATTTATGGTACAGACGACCTTCTCCCCCAGAGCAAAAATTCCTGCAGGAAAGACACCTATCTGAGGAGGGTCCCTGGGTGAGAGCTGGCGCTGGGATAGACTCTGGCTCCAGGGGAGCCACGCAGGGATGAGCCTTCACTGAAGAGGGGCCGCAGAGTCAGAGCCTTCCTGGGTGTGCTGGGGGTCTGGAGAACCTCCAGACAGTGCCCAACCGTGTGGAGGGGGAGCAAGGGCTCCCCAGGCAAGCGTTTGCCTGTGCGGGACCAAGGGTTTCCCACTGTCCCTGCCTGCATCCTCTCCTTGCTGCCTTGTCCCTGCTCATGTCCCCTCCTCACTGCCTCGGTGACCCAGCCAGCACTGCCACCTCTCCAGCACACCCAGGATGACCAGGGGAGCGGAGCCACCAGCCACCCCAGCGCCTGAGCCCAGCCATGGCAGGAACCCAGCTTGTTCCTCTGAACACACACCAGCAGCCACGGTTCCTGCCTGGTGGCTCCCCCGAGCAGGGACACAGCTCTGGCAGCACCTTGCACGCCGCAGCCGGGCAGGATGGAGCCGTCTCCT